ATTTTTTCTGTTTTAAAATATTTAGAGAAGCAGAAAATATTATTTACCAAACCAAAATCAGACTTCAATAATATATTTAAGCAATTAAACGAAAGTTAAAGTTATTTAAAGTATATACAAATACTTTAAACCATTCAATTTATTTAATTTCGTTCAGCGTTAATAAAAGTTGCAGCTTAAAGTCATGAAAATATGTCACACAAATATCAGAGTGGTTTATTAAAGGAGCGTTGCAGCTTGTTTGCCTCTTATTGAGTCTGGTGTTGCCGTCGCAACATGCAACAAATAAGTGGGGCTTGCGTGGCTGCAAATATGAAATACAGCGCAACTGCACACTGACTTGTCGGAATGCCTGACAACATTTTAATAATGTTGCGAGGACGGTTTGCCGGAGGCCAAAGACGACAGCAGAATGCCGTCTTGTGTGTTGGCTTTTTGCTGCCTCACGCTGTCTATTTTGCGCAGGCTCTTGGCCAAGTCAACTGTCTTCTGCGAAATTGGCAAACGTATGAATACGGACTTACGAGAAAAAGAAATAGAAGGTTTCCACATACCCAAACGGTTTACAAAGCAGCTGAGATTAATTCTGGACTTAGTGCGTATCTTCGAGAGGTATTTTTCATATTCATTGGCAGCTGAAAGCTCGCCTTGTTTGCCTCTGAATGTTGGCTTAACTTTTGAACTTTACGATTCAAACGGGCCATATGCTGGCCGCCCTTTCAAAAGAGATTTTCAAACCAGGCGCACAAAAAGAGCCCTCTCGGCTATCTCTTTTACTTTACCTGCAAAAGTTCAAGGCTGCCAGAAATGCCAAGGTTGATGATGAAAGCCTTTCAGCGACAGCCGGGCTAAAAAGCTAAAGTTTTTTTTTTTTATAGGAAAAGTTAAAAATAATAAAATTAAAGTAGATTAAAGATAATACAAAAATGTTCCTACTAAAATCTTAACAGTTGCATTTAATGGGAAGTAAACTAAACTCACATTAAAATCGAATTAATTTTAATTGGCCTTTGATCTCGGCAGTGTGTAAACTGCATTGCGATATTTATGGTTGGCCTGGCGCCGCAGTTAAGTGAATGTGCTGCGATGGCGACAAAAATAATTGAACATAAAATCCCACGCATTGTGTTTGTGTCTCTGGCTAATAATCAAAATGGACGCGAAATGAAGCGCTTATAAAAGCTGGCGTCACAAAACTTTGCCAATGGACATAATGCGCCCGAGCCTTCCAAACTTGCGATGCGAGCGTCTGCAGCGATTGCCAAAAAGAAAGGGCCCCGGCCGAAGGAAAGAAAGTTGTGCAAAGTCCATTAAATACATAAACCTGCCACGAAATGTTCATGGAAAGCGCATAAAGAAAGTTTGTAGCCAGTCGGCCAGCCAGCCAGCCAGTCAACCAACCAGTTAGCCAGCCAGTTGGCCAAGTGAACCGGCCAACAGGGCGGATGGGTGCAAAGTGCCCGGCTATTTATACTCGCCATATGTGACGCAGTCGCAAAGTCCAGCCATCGGCCGTAATAACTTGATTTGCGCCCATTGTGGCGACGCAGATGCAGCAGAATAAATGGGGCGGGGACACGCCCCTTTCCGGATAAAGTCGGACAGCAAAGACGCCGGGCTCGAATGCCCCGTCAGCGTTTGGCTTATTTATGACTTCCTTTGCAGCGGAAATGTAAAAAGCATTTCGGTTATTATGCACATTTATGTCAATGTGGCAGAAATTGATGCTCGTAAAAAGTAACAACTGCAGGAAGGAAAACGCCCCCAAGGTCCAGACTTAAGATCCCCGCCCAATACAATATGTTATTTCAATATTGGGAGTCGTAAAAGATTAAAATTGAATAACAAAACAAGAAAGGAAGCTAGCTTTTTGTATCTATTATTGTATGTTGGCTATGCACTTTAAAGCCGAAAAGCGTTCGCTTAGAAGTGCGTGACATATAAATGAATTATTTTCTGAGCTTAGAAAATAAGCAGAAATAAATTAACAAACTGTTTGGACAGAAGAGAGCGATAAAAATGTCATGGTCGACCATTAGAACGCCATTAAAAGAGCGTTTAAGTCAGTCAGAGCAAGTCAAATAAAAAACTCAGCTGGGTCAATTGTCTAGCAACGCAACTGTCCAAAATGGTGGAACGGCACAAAAAAAAAGAAGAAAATCCGGAAATGCTGCGTGGATAAAGTCAAGAGGACACATGTGTTGCTGCGAGATGTTGGCAATCCTTTTGAGTGATTTCTGCGAATTAATTTCAAACTTTTCGCAAGTCCTTGGGGTCTGTTGGCGAGCTTGTGCGAGCAAAGCTTTTTATCTGGCCGAGGAAAATCCGAGATGGGCAATAAAATCTGCTTGAGTGCGATGCTCTTTTTTCCACTTGCCCCATTGACTCCTTGGCTAATTGCCGACAACGTCGAGAATTAACCGCCGAGAATGGCTATTATTTATTTTAGCACCACTAAAATATTTATGCAGATGATTCCTTTTCCTCTCACTCCAGTTCTCTGTTGTTTTTTTTTTTGCGACACGGCTGCGGTCGTAAATTTCCATCGCAAAGTAAAGCAATTAAAATTTGCATAAAATTCGAATATATTTGCCGGCTTGTCTAAAAACTAAACATCAACAGGGCACGGGAAAAGAGCACTCGAAACTACACACACGCACACACACACACGGGCGTGTAAAACATGACAGTCAAAAGAGAATCTGAATCCGGGTATGGAATGAAAAATTACGTATACGCCATGTAACACTTGGCGCATAAACTTTGAAGTGCACTCGCTCACAAAAACGACAAAGTTCTCTGACGCACATGGCAAATAATTACAGAGAACTCTGTCAGTCCTGCTGAAAGTAGGAAAATAAAATTCCGAATTGGAAATTTCATAAGCTACTATGTCCTTCGATTCGGAATTTATGTTTTCGCATTGACCAGCTGAAATAGCTTGTAAAGGGCTTTAGGAAATAATTTCGTTAGCCTCAAACATTTTCAGGGGCTCGAAAAGAGGATCAAGAAGTGAAGATGGAATTTTAATTGGACTGACGATTTCCATCAATCATGTGAAATCTTGTAAGCTGTCAGACATTCGCATTTGTTTTTCCGATACCCTCAGACGAAACTTGTTTAGTTGCTACAAGGACATGTGGCAAGCCCCAAAATATCGACATATGCAAATTTAATGAAGACTTGCATTTAGGCAGATATGAACTCTGCCTTTCCTCAGCCCGTATCTTTTTCTATGCCAATACTTTTTCGTCCCTATTTGTTTAGGTTCATTCGGGTTTTTTGTGTCTGCGTATGTGATTTTCGGGGAGATGGACACTTTTACGCCTTTATCCCTTCTCACATCATTTGGGACCTAATCTCCTGTGATTTATTCATGGACTCCGTTTTTGCACCATTAGTTTTGCGTATATTTGCATAGCTCCACAGGGTAACGCCTTCATCCTGCGGTTAGCACTTTGCCCGCCTGCTCTGAAATTAATATTCATAATTACGAGCTGTGACTCTCAACTGGTGACGCATCGTGTCCTTAAACGCCGCCATCATTCACACTCCTTCGCGTATGAGGAGTCATCAGTTGGCAGGAGCGACTCTGCTCCTTAAACGCAATGCACTTCATATTCATAATGGCAATTTTTTACGCTTGCGATCTTGGCCAGCATTATGCACAACAATAAATTTATTCAACACATGCCAAGTCAGCCGAGGAGGAGGAAAGGCAAGGAAGGGCAAGGAATGAAGGAGCAAGGACACTCAGAGTGTTTTACAAAATTGTCTGAGCGGGTGTCCTGATGATTTATGCCGTGGTCTTAAATTACACACGCCGAGAACTTGCTGATATTGCAGTTGTTGATGGGGGCCCATGTAAATAATAGTGAGTATCTGGGCTGCCACTTGATATATTTAAATGCCTGGCAAAGCCCATCGCCTGAATGAGGATTTATGCGGCTAAAACACATTCTGGTTATCACGGACAAAGCCCATTGGGCCATAAACACCGACTGCTACGCCCCCTTTACCCATTTCTGTGTGTGTGTGTGCGCGTTCGTGTCGATTTAATGTCAATAAATAGTCGTGGCGGGCCTATAATGCTGCCTATTGATAATTCAACTAATTAGCATTCAAGTTAATTATTTGGAATTCAATAGTTGAGCACGCGTCGGCCATTTTGTTATTGTTATGTCAGCTGCACGATGTTTGTGTGTGCGTGCCGGAGCGGAAATGACGTCAATGGCGAAAGTGTTGATAAATTTAAATGCCCGTTCCGCAGGTTAGTGAACCCCTGGAATTTTGTTCAGGCAAACCACCAAATGGCATCTCCACATCCAAACTGTGGAATGTCGAGCATGGTTTTAATAATTTCGACCTTTTGGTAAGAGGTATGAGCTGTGGGTATTTGAAGAAATAAACATGTCCTCTGTGTTGTGTGAAATTTTTGGACACCGAACCCTCTCTTGAACACGCTCGGCGAGAAAGACAAATAAAATAAATGATAAAATGCTAAATTCTGCCCATTGCGGTATTCAGATAATGCGCCAAATGAAAAGTCGCCACAGCTAGTGTTAGTCAACCGAAATTTATTAAAAATTCCACAAAATCGACGTATTCATGATCCGGACTATTTAAACTATTTCATTATTTGCGGTTTTGGTCTGAACGTGCTGCGAAGTCAAACTAGGACAGGCCCTCTATACCAAATGCAAACTAGGTTTAGTCACTAAAGAAAATACTTTGACTATATTTTCTTTACATTTAGTAAAAATTTTAAAACATTTTTACGTTGATAAGTACCTTATAGCAAATGTTTTAGGTTTTATCAAAAACTGTAAACAATTTTTTCTCTTAAGTTGAACAGTGGAAAACAACCTTTTGGTTCAGTGTATAGGTGTACAACTAAATGTCCATAATTTGTGGTCATTATCAGCACATATATTAAGCTAATTGACCGCATAGAAATAGTTATTTAAATTGTGAACCCATGAAAACCTAGTGGCCTTGAGTCCGTAAATCAGGTGAAGGAATTCACTTAGCAAACACTTTTGTATAAATACAAAATAATACATTGTGGCATAATGACGGACTTTAGCATTGCGAAGTTTAACAACTACCAGGAGTATTTGCATTCCTTTACCACCGTCGAGGACTTTCGCTATTTGCCCTTTCATAAAACAGTCACCACTCTCTCGAAACTTGGCTATCGAGAGCATCGTACTTTTTATGAAGAGGACGAGTTCTTGAATGTAAAAAAGCAGTTGGAACAGCTGCTGAACCCTACAGTTTCGTCTCAGATTTACTATAGTCGGTATCTCAAGGGAACTGATCCTGCTCTTGTGGCTTTGGCCAAACGAGAACACATCAATGTGCAGCAGGAGATATCGGTGAGTGCTTGAAAAGTATGAGGAAATAAAGTACGGTTTTAAGGCACTACCTTTGCAGACCATTATCTTTCTGGAAATAAGTGGCAGAAGCGGTTTCTCCAAGTCGGGTTACATTGACTTCGAGGCAAGTCTGCGCAACTGTAGATTCAAAGGACCAAATGCAGTTGACTGGCGAGCAGTTTTTGAGGAGCGAAAGATGCTGCAACCTCAGCCGAGCGACATTGTCTTCTACGACTGGAGAACCAGGAAAATCTTTGCGAATGACAATGATAATTATACCGTTGTGGCTCATCCGGAGCACGGTCTTATGTTCACTCACAAGGGAGATCACAAGAACATCCCGGTCACCACCAAAAAGAATCCTTTCTCTTCCAACGTAAGGCGTTCGATGATCAAGTCTGATCTATATGGCTTTATAATACTATATGATCATCATGTACGAAAGAAGACTTAAGTGAGTTAAGTTGAAGTTTTTGCAAGCAATAAATTTATTTTATCTTTGGCATTGTAAAATATAAGCCAACTTTATTAAAAATAGAGTTCCGGGTAGGCAAAAAAGAAATAGAATTTTTTTGTAGCCCAACTAATAACTGTCCTTCATTTAATATTAATGTCATCTGATAAAAGCTAATGCTTGCAACGCTTGAGCAAGCAAAATTCCACTTAAGTTGTCAACACTCTGCTGCCTAAACAACCACACACTGCCAACCACACACACTCGCCCCTCCTTTCACACACACACACTGACACTTTGGGGGACACGCACGCCCGCCTTTCCACATCCATCCACACCTTAAATACCCAAATCAAAAAATAAATGGTAAACACTGGACGGTCCCAACCCCAAAAAGCCACATGTCCAGGGCGACTCTATCGAAAAATGCTGATGATATGATATTTAGAATATTTTTTTTCCTTATCCAGGCGGCAGTCTTGGTGCCTCAAAATTCCTGCAGAGCATGGTAAATATTTATTTAATGCTCCGGAGTGGACAGCCGATAGCCAGACATGCAAACCGGGGTGGTTGGAAACACAACTTGTTTGCTTTTTGGAGCTGGGGGTTGGTCTTCGGTTCTTCGAGACTGTCCCATTGTTTCGGACTTGGCAACTTTGTTGCTGCCTTTGCTGCTTAGTTAATTTCTGGTCATCAACTGCAGAGCGGCTTTTGTTTGGCACCCAGACAATAGAAAGCAGAGGAAAAATACTACAAAATCCACTGATTGTATTTTTAATATATGTATCTAAACAGAAAGTCAAAAAAGAAAAAACAAAACGTTTTCAAGAGCTTCCAAAAATGTATACTGATTGAAATTCGCCAAATTCTTTAAGATAGAATATACATTATTTGATACCTATACTGGAGTAATAATACCTTTATTTTCATAACAACAGCACTTAAACTAAACCCTAGGTAATTTTTTTTGGTGTGCTGACTAAGCCCTGAGCCTTGGAAGAGCTCCAAAAGTGCCGGCGAACAACAAAGTGGGCGTTTTTGGGGGCGTGGTCGAGTCTATTGTGCGAGTATGTGTCTAGTTTTAAGTGCTTCCAGCGTGTATAAATCACATTGTTGGGCATTTTTACCGATCGACTGTGAGGTGCGAGGAGCGATGCAGGTAATGTCTGCGCACAAAAGTATGCAATAAAATATTTTGTTGCCGCCAGACGTTTTAAGTGGATTTTGTAGACCACAAAATGGCTTAATAGGCGAGATGGAGGGGCGCCGAAAACTTTGGGTTTCATTAGCATTAACGGGCGGTTGGCTGTTCGGCTGTTTGGCCGCCTTGTCAACACGCCCACATCTGAGGACCCACGACCAGAAACAATATTTATGTGCAGGTTAACACGTGAGTGCGAGGTTGCGTGTGTGTGTGTGGGTGAGTGTGTGTGTTTGGGTCTGTTTGCTCACAAACCTGATTACAAAACTCATAAAGTCGCCATGAAATTCAAACAATGCGTTACGTGCATCGAATGCTGAAAACCACACAAAGGACAAGACGAGCAGCCCACATACACACTCACACACACAATCACGTCCGAAGGACCCGTGCATAAACAACATTTTTGTTTGACCCAAGGAGTTGAAAGCGAATGTGTGAGAGGGCCTGTTTATTACATTTTGATTATTGCAATCTCGTTTCTCAGCAGCCGAGCACATCAAAAGGATCTCAAACTGATTTACAGTTCGGCCAGGATTCGGCGGAAAAACAAATGGAAACAGCGAGCGAACAAAAAAAAAACAAATCAAATCAGCAACCGGCGTCCAACTTTCGGCAACTTTAAAAGCATTTTAACTGCCGCCCAAGTTGAAGCAGAAATATATATAAATATTTATGGGAGTGGCCCGCAAAGCGATTTGTCAAGAGCGGTTCTTACTTGTGGATTATGAATACTTTGCTTGAATTTAGCTGACAGCAGAAAATTATTACACAATGATTAATATTTATTTGCCCGGGCCACTGAGCAGCGGCTCCCGGCGGAGTTTCGGTCCGAAGAAAGCCCAAGAAAGTGGCCACAACAAGTGACAATGTGCTGAATATAAACATGCCCTCCCCTTTTCTCCTTGGGAAGCCGCTCAAAAGGGCATTTAATTCAGATTTATGCCCTGCACGGCACTGTGACAGGACGAAGGCAAACACAGGGCAGCGAGTCCTGCGAAAATTATGATATTTGCCAACCTCCGAGGCGCTGGCTGTTTACTCTTGCCTGATAAGCTATCGAACAATGAAATGGGTTTCGAAGTCCGCTCGGAGTTTCGGCCAAGGCAAATAGGGATATGCGCAAATAAAATAGCAATAAATCAAAACGATTGACGATCTCACGATGCGGCTGGCCTCAGCGATTAAGGCCTCAGTGCCGAGATTTTCCCATATAAATCGACTCGGGGTCGAAAAGTGATTTTGATTGTTATTTGTTTGCCGGCATCTTAGTTAGCTAGCTGCCTGTCGACCCGACTCGCGCGACTTGACAAGCAATTTATGGCGATATATTATATATAGCGGGTATCCATAATTTATGCCGGGCTGCAGGAGAATCACTGCAGCGGAAGTGCGAATCGTGGCCAGGAATTCAGAGGAGCGGGAGGAGCGGAAGGAGTTGCCGGGCTGCCACTGTCAATAAGGAAACTTCATTATAAATTACCCAACTGACAGTTGCAGGCAGACGTCGGAGAATAATAATAATGGCGGCGTCGTCGGCGGAGGCGAAAGTTAAAAGCCGAGGAAAACCCCCTTTCACCCGTCAGCTGCAAGCTTTTGCCCACTCCGGAGATTGTTTCAATCTGCTTAAGCGACCAAGTCGAAGTTGCAATCGAAGGACCTAGCTTTTTGGCCCCCGCAGGCAATCAGCCATGCAACCAGATCTCCACAGCTTCCCCCTTCTCTTCATAGGGCACTGGATGCGATTGTTGTGTTTAAAATTGCTGAATAATTGTGCGGAAGTCGACCGCTGTTGCATTCTGGACTGAAAAAGGAAAAAAGATTGAGTGCTGGGTCCATGAATCACATAAAAAGCAAATGTCGCGTCGTTAGGTTAAAAGCTTTATGCAAATTTTCCCTTGCTTCTTATCATCATATTCTCTTTGCCCTGCTGCAAACTGAATGGAAATTGTATCGAACAGGGAGTGGGATGTATATACATATATATATAAAGCCCCATATCGAAGGGCTGGTTCGGTGGGCGGCCATCGATGTGCAACTAAGCTGAAGTGTCGGCAATTAGGTGCAATTGTTTGAGAGGAAGTGTCATTCAGCTAAGCATTTGAACACGCAGGGTACTTATTAACCCCTCTTACGAGTATTATTACAATTGCACAAATCCATTCCAAATCTTCTTATTGGATCCCCAGGTTAAGTGTGGCGAATTAATTAGTTTTAGTCGGACTACTGCACGTGCTCTCGGATTGTATAAGGTAGCTTACACTAAGAAAAGGAAAGATTATGTATACAAAATAAAATAACGGAATAAAATATTACCATCAATATAGCTAAGTAATTTCTTTTAGCAGGAAATATTAAAGAGATATGAAATGCTTTGCAAAATTTCTTTCTTTTCCATCCAATTTTAAATTGTTTCCTTTTACAAGAATAGTTTTCCTGAGTGTTTAGAGCCCAAGTTTGCTCGAATCCTATTGTTTTGTAATCGGGCCTTAATTCAATTATTGTTTAAACACATCGAGGGCTATCCCAATCATAATCTGAGACAAGCGGCGGCTGATTGCCTCTGGGGCAGGGGTACAATTAAACTGCCTTGTCCGCACATTACCGCTCACGTTTTATGGCCGCCGTTTTAAAAATATTGAAAAAGCCGGGCTGCCACGGGCACGGAATTGAAATGCCTGCCAAGGGGCGCAGCTTTATTGGCACCCGTCGACCGAGTGGAGGTCGGGAGTGGGGCATTATCCTGCAGATGGCTGCGGTCGCTGGACATTAGGCGCTGGAGGACAACCGGTGGCCGTGGACGGGGCCAGGATCACCGAAGCACGGATACGGGCGTTGTACATGAGATGGCGTCATTAAATACACATTACCCTGCCGGCGGATGGCAAAGAGGGGAGGAGGCGGAGGGCGGGGCGGTATGGCGATAAAGGCACAACAGCCGCCGAGCAACAGTCGGCCAGCGGGAGAATGGCTATTAAAAAGCAGCCCAGCTTGAAGATAGACACGGTCGAATACAGTGGCAGACATAACAAATTACGCCATTTTGACAGGCGATTCTGGGCGGGATTCTGCTGTAATGTCAACTTGGCTTTTTTCTAGCCACGCCTCGATTTTTTTATTTACATAAGGCCGCAAAATTTTTTTTCGGATTTGAATGTTAATTCCATCAAAGCAAATGACATTTCAAATGTGTTAACAAACATTTAACTTTCAATACCTATATTATATTTATTGTTAAAATTTTTAAGAATTATGCAGAGAGTAAATTAATAACGAAAGATATGCTTTTTGAAAGCTAAACTATTTTAATATTAGATAAGAAAATAAATTAGTTAGCCTATATTTTTATCTTGCTTATTGATATAAAAAATACACTTATTTTGTAGCATTTCGTAGTCTGCAATCGTCAACACTGACCAGGCATTATGACCGGTGGTTCGATGGTCGGTGTTCAGTTTCAATTGTGCCGGCAAACGTGACTCCAAATTGGCTGCCGGCGAATAATTCATACGAAACACTTTCGCACCGGGCGCCTTGCCATTAGCATCGCACGGCCCTCAACCACCGAACGACCTCCAGCTGCCAACCACCTACCATTCACCACCCAGCCACCCACCAACCACCCAACCACCCAACCACCCATCCACCTAGCCACCCATTCACCCACTCTTCCAGTCGGAACCACGGAAGCCCATGCCCCATGTAACCCCACGATTGCATTTACAGCAAATTATTTATGGCTGCGACAGACACGGAACAGGAAGCGAGTATGCGCTGCCAACTCCACGTCCATCAATATTTTATGAAACCCTGTCTGCAGGACGCTCCGCGATGCTCGCAGCCGCAGAATGGATGGGTTGGCGTCCTTCGAGCAGGACGAGGGTATCTGCTTACATTGCTGCCTCCTGTTGGCTGCCTGGCTGTCGATATCCGGTTAGATGAGTATCTAAATTGCCTTTACTGTTGATGAATTAGCGCCGGCTGCCTGTCGATTCCGCAGAATCGAAGGGAGTGGGAATGGGAACGGGAGTGGGCGGTGGTGCAAGTGCCTGGGCTGCGCAGATAAGCTCCTCGGATGGGTGCAAATTTCAATTTGTTCTGACTGATTTTGCGCTCATCAAATAGGCCGGCAATCTAGGAAGACGCCACCACGAAAGCAGCAAAAGCGAAGGCAACAAGGTGTGGCAATCGGTTAACAAATGGCTCGGGTGCAAAAGATACTCGTTCTATAATTACCACTTTATGGGATACAAGAAAGACGTAGAAAACTTACAGTGTTCTCAGGATAAAATTTATATGTCTTATGTTTGTAATTTGTAATAGAATATTTTACTTAAAATTGTTTATATTAAGTAAGTTTACTTGTAAGCTTATGAGTCTTGTAAAAGTCAATTTAAATTCAATTTGTAAAGCTGTTTTTTATGAATATTTGTACTTCTTCAAAGTTCAGATTTAGAGTTCCTTGCATTAAACATCAGTTACTGCTGTCGTTTCTTTAAATTACCAGTTTGAGCTCCATTATGTTGATTTCCCGAAAGGAAATCGTTTCGATATTGCTGCTGTTAACGGCGGTTAGTTGCACCTGAGTCTGAGTCCGAGTATCTGACCTTGTGAGCCATCCTTGAACCCCGCAGATAATCTGTGTGCTGAACGCGTCCTTCTTCGCCAATATCCTGCCCCTCCACGTCAGTTATGAGCAGCTGGGCCAGCAGATCGTCTGCCTGGGAACGGCCTATATCTGCTTGATTTACGCCCTGAGCACCTGGCTATACCACTCGAATTATTCTAGGACCCGTCTGCACATGCGATTGGTGGTGGGTGGTCCTTTTTTTAAGTAGTAGAGCTGCCTTCCAAGTATTTAAATATTCCCTTCGTTACAGCTTATTGCCATGAGTCTGGTGATGTTGGTCTGCAACATCGTGTCTGCCTACTTCTTTTTGCAGGGATTATCGTTTTCGAGTCTTAGTAAAACTGCGGAATTATCTTTGCTTTTCAGCAGCTTTGCCGAGGATTCGAGGTCGGCCAGCATAGGTCTTTCGATTATCAGCGTTGTGCTGCTGTTTGTGGTCATCGTGTTGACCATTGTTTCCATCATTCAGAAGCGCAAGAAGAACAACACCAAGGGGAAACTGCAGGATGCGGAGTCGCAGTAGGGAAAAGCTTTCTTCCAGGGAGTGGGAGTGCCCATTAGGTTCGGTTTTCATGCTACGCCAAACATTTCATGTCGCTGCAATGTGGCGCCGCAGTTGCAATAATATAAATATTATACTCGTACGTCGTTTGGCCCAGACAGACACGAGAGCTGCTCACCTCACCTTCTTTATATTCCCACCCATGACACACAGATTCTGTCTGTGTTTTCTTCGCAGGTGATACAAAAAATATATAAAAGAGTCCTTGTCATTGTTTTCACAAGTCGCTGCCAGGATGCTCTTGTTGTGCCAGGGATTAAGTGCAGGAAAACATTGCATTGATGGAAAAATATTATTTTGTAAACGTTTTGTATTTTATAAGTGTTAACATTGAACTGAATTTGCTGGAAAATAATAAGGAATACTTAAAAGACTTACTCAAAGACTTTTCTTGTAACGAACTTATGTAGTTATTCAGCGAGTTGTGAATATTCTTCATCCAAGGGTATCGGAAATGCCATCAGTCGGCTGCAGTTGATGTGTGAGTGCTCGAGCTCCTTCTGAGCCCAAAAAAAAGCAATCCGCCCAGGATGCCACTGAGCTGGGAAACTCATAAGGAAGACAAGCAGCCTCTCCACATCGGCGTGTGTACTATTGCATTTTGCATAATGAAACCGGCAGACAGTGCAATTTTCAGCGGCAGACAAACGAAGTTAAACAACAACTTTAAGGCCTTTGAGTAACTTTCGGAGCGTAAAAGTTAAAGTTAGCTCAAGAAGGAATTGTGGGGTATTTCGAAATGAATACTGAGCGGGCGGGGGAGTAGCCTAATTACGCTCCAATGGCCGCCCATCAAAAGTGACAGTTGGCAAAGGCAGAGGGGCTTACAATAAAATTTCCAGTTAAGTTATTGCCGCGCCGCTGCCAAAGCTACGCAGAATGCTCAGTTGAAAGTAATTCGAAATTTAATTGCGCACAATTTAGAATGGCGAAATGTTGGCGTGCGTTTAATTAACTGAAAAATAACATAAAAAGCAAAACGAAAACGGGAACGGGAAAGGAAAACAAAGCCAAATGACAGACGCGGCGCCACTGGAAATCCTTAATGTTAAATGCCAACTAATTAAATTTCGGGCATGCCAGCGAACTCCACTCAGACTGAACTGCCGAATTTATTGTTGCATTTAATGGCCAGCGCAGGCGGTTGTCCCATTCGTTTTGGCCATCGCTCGGCTTTACCACTTTTTTTATTGCGTATACGCAGTGTATTACGCCCCCTCTGCCACATTTAAATGGCGAAGTCAAAGGATTCCCCTTTGTTGCGTTCGAGGATATAGGATGGCAAATGACGCAGAACCACAGGCATTGCGATTGTAATTCCGATTGGGCAAACGTCAGTTTCGCTGCGGTCCGTCGCCAAATGAAGCCAATAAAACGGCCTTGTTCGCACGCAAACGTGCGAAAGTGATTCATGTAAACTGATAAAAATTTAATCATATTTCGCATATTAACACGTAATTATTAATGCCTGATAAATGTCCGCAGTTGGTAGAACGTGAAAAAGTCGCAATTAATATGCATTAATTTCCCCTTAGTTGACAATTCACTGGCCAAATTAAATGTGGCAGCATGAGCCTACCTACCAGTTAAATGACTCCCGCCATAATAATGTGAAAGTTTTAAAAGAGCACGGGTTGATAAGAAATATTACAAAGAGTTCTATAAAATATTTTACGGCATTAAAATCCGATTCGTATGCTATACATAAATGTTATACAGGGTATTTTCCGCACTCATTTCCACGCAATCATCGTTTATTTAATTGTGGACAAGCGTATAATTCTGAAGCGCGGCTTCACTTTTATTATTATTGTCATTGTTGTGCGAACGAACGCCAGTCTGTCGGTTTATTTGGATCGGCTTCGGCGTTATTTTTTTTAATTATGTACTCCGATCACAAATGTGGGTCAATTAACAAGCATCCTTCGGACCCCATCGATGTCGAAAAATCGGGATTAAACAATGCCACAGACGTGCTGCCAGGACAACGCAAACAATTGTCAGAATTTAAATGCAATGGCAGCGGACCGCAAAGCTTCCACTCGCAATCCGGTTCAATGTCCGCATAAATTATGCCGCCATATGTCAGACATCTGGCGAATGGACGCGTTTGCTCTGAGTTTCGCATTTTCCCCGGATTTTCCGAATTGCCAAGTACTCCGCGTGTGTAGGTCGCTAGTTTGCGGGCTGCAACAGCTTTCGCCTAATTGCCACTGGCACTGTGCCAAAATGCAGGGCTAAAATCAAAACTAGTCGCAAAGTGCTACTGCAATGTACGTAATCGGGCATAAAGCAGACAACGATGGAGGAGGGTCATCAATCACGAGACCAGCAAGTGTCAATCACTGAAAGTGTCTTGTCATACTCCTTTGGCCTAAGGTAATATGCGATAACTAATCGATGGGAGAAGTTCAAAGCCCAAACATTTAAATCCTTAAAGTGCTTTCTTTAATCCAAAAATTTTTAAGTTGAGCAACCAAATTTAAAAATAATTTAATTTTTTTCTAATGGTATATGAAGTATATTATAGATTTAGGTGCGTTGATAAAAACATTTTTTTTTTTTTTTACTTTTTAATTTGTGTCAAAAATCGGAAATAATTTTTGTTGAGGAATGCAGATTAGTTATGGAAATTAAACCTGACACATAGTAACAATTTCTCTTGCATCTATGCATGAAAAGAGTTATTTGTCAAAATAAATTATTATCGCTTTTGAATTTTTGTTCATTCTGTCAGTCACTGGTTTTGTTTTTCCAAGTTAAAGCATTCGTTTTTACTCGTCGATAATCCATAAATTCGAAGCGAAATGGAAAGTATGGCTAAAGAAAGTAATTTATCAGAACAAAACTTTGTGCTAGAAGAGGAAAATGGTACCGATAATCAGGAACAAGGAGGTACTCTTCCTTTAGCAGATTTGCAACCCGTAGAGGAATTAATACAGGGTAATGTAAAGATAAGTGGATAAAGTACAATAAAGTTATACTTTCAGTTACAGATACGGAGGGTCCACTTCCAAAGGACAAAGTAGTTTCGAGTTCAGTGAGTTCCGATTCGGTAACCGCAGGACTTAAAAAGCCGTCGAAAAGAACTAGATCAGTTGGCGTAGGAACTGATGGACTTATGGGAGCTCATTCAATCAAGCGTCGTCTATGCAAAAGGAACTTTATGACGCCCTACTTGTGCAACACGTGCCACCAGTTTGTGCGCGGCGGAGTGATCACCATCTGCGGCCACGTCTTCTGCTGGGTGTGCCTGTGGCCCCAAGTGGGTGGCAGTGTCTTCCCGCAGTGCCCCCACTGCTTCCACAACCTGACCCTCCACGAGGACATCGTTCCCTTCAACGGCGAAGGGCCCAAGGCCGAACCGAATGACAACTGCATGCTGGCCGAACCGGGTGCGGTGCCTCGACCCACGGGATTCTACCTCTGCGACCAGCAGTTTCCCCGCTGGTTCCTGGTCAACGATCCCATCCAGTTTCGCCACAATCAACGGGGCTTCCAAGCTCTCACCAAGGAGCGGGATCTCTTCTCCGTGGTGGTGCTCCTCTCTCTGCAGTTTCCGCGGATCGGGAGACAGCTGAAGTTCCTTGACTGGTTCCAGTTGGGCTGCGCCACCCTGATGCTCCTGCTGTGGTGCTGTGTTTCCTTAACATAAGAGGTGACAGTTTTATATTATTTTTAATTTGTTTAGATTTTTAATAATGGTTTACGGGTGGGGTGAATATATCTAAATTTTCATCTGGATAAACTCGGCAATGCGGCAACAAATTTTTGTATTTTTGGATAAACTCAACACAATATTCTCTGTAATTAAACTTAATAATTAAACTAAAATACAAAAAGTTCTAAGCAGAAAAACACATAAATAAACCCATGATTAAATCTTAGTTTAAATAGTTTTCCTTTTCGTTCCTGTAGTTTTTGTTATTAAAAAAACAAGAAGGCAAGTCAGCTTCCTGCCAAGACATTTTCCCCAGATTTGGTCCTGCAACTTGGAGGAAACACGGAAATATTTTATGAACTTTCCGCCCAAGTCGAAAGTTATTGCATGCAACATTGCCAAGTCCCCGGAGCCTTCTGGCCAACTGAAACAGCTGAAACAATACATTCCATGGGAAGATAGCAGCCCAGACAAACTCAATGGCTGGCATAAGCGGCTTTAAGGTCGGAATTTAAAGAGCTTATACCTGAAAAGATGGCAAAAAGAAGGAGAACCGAACACTCCGGCTAATGAGACACGGTCAACCGAATATTCCGGCAATTGGGTTAGCCCAATTGAGTTGTTATCCGGCTTTTGTCGATGACAACGATGGCTGCGTGGGGAATTGCGTGCCAGCCTTGGTGGCTCGGCTCAGGGTAATATTTATCATTAATTAAGCGAGTGCCGAGAAATCCGTAAGGATATACGCACGATACTATATAGGTATATACGAGTGAGTATGGATGTGTCCGAAAGCCAAGCGTCAGAAGTTAATGCGACTTGGCTACGTGGAGAAAGCGACACGGACATCGAAAGGAAGCGGATGCAGATGCATCCTGTGATTCAGCTCTATTATTGCAGCTTAAATGGCATTTGCTGGCAGCTTGTGCATGTGTGTGCTTATTGTTGTTGTTGTGTGTGTGTGTGTTGTTGCTGTGTGTGCGTGTGCGTGTGGGAAAATCCATTCTTTGCCTCGGCGAGGACATGACAATGTCCGCTGCAGCATCCCGGAAAATTGATGCGTTTTAAATTGCATTAAACTCCGTGCAACGTAATCCCGGCCACTCGCACACAGACACGCCCAGAAAAGCCAGTGCTGCGAGCAAATTAAATTTATTTTGTTTGTCTTGTGTTCTCCGCTCGTCTGGAATTATGATGCCATCTCAACACCAACGTTTAACGCTCAGCGGTACGTGTATCGATTCGATACATTCGGCTCTAGTTTCCCGCTCTGGCCAATTTCACCGGCGTCTGGCGATCGGCGTTGGCAGCCGGAGCAAATATTTAGCCTTAATTAATTTAAATCAGCAAGGGCTGCGGGGAATGCCAAATGCCAGCGGCTGCTTTCTGCCACTGCCTCTGGTGGCATCATTAAAATCTTCCGCCCGCTGAACAACAAAGCGCTGGCAAATTGCTCGTCACGAGTGCTACTTTGTTCCCTTTTGCCTTCCAGCTTTTTCCCACCGACTTTCACCCAAATATTACTGGCCTTTGGCAGACATTTGAACGCAAATTATGCCGCCATGTAACACATGGCGTATACATAACTACGGAAGTGAATGGTCTAAGCAGTGCAAACGATTTGGGTACTCTGTAATTATAAGCCTTTACTCTGCAAAATAATAATAATATTTAAAAGTCCAACAATATATCACATTTACAACTAAAATTGTACTTGATTTACTTAAGTATTAAAATTCTTGATTTATTCCCAGTATTTAAAAGTAATTTAAAAGTATATTACAGTTAAACAGATAAGCATCCTGTATGCTTGTTACGATAATATTCTGTAATCTCTAATTCGAAGGCATTGAAATCGAATTATTTTCTATTTTCGTAGGTTTTCAATGCAGGTTGTGGCTGACACACAACATTCATCAGTTCGTTTGGATGGTGAGATCATGGCCACACATTTGGGTGGTGCTGCAGTAATTTCCATTTCAATTATAGTATCTGCCGACTAGACATTTGAAAAGAGCGGCGCACACGACAAGCGCCATTTAGGGACTTCCCCATTCAATTTTACCACCTCTTTCCCCGTTCCCCCCTTCCCACCCACCTTCCACCCAACCATTGTGCAACGGTGAATGTGGCTTTTATTCATTACATAATTACTGTTGTGTTTGCACTGTGGCAAGCAGCAGTGGCCCCCGGGGCAAAGGTTAGTGCAGCCAGCAGTGATTATGAGTAATTGTCAAGGTTAGTTGGGAATCTCGTTAGCCTGCGGGACTGACGTTGCATGTGGATGTTGCAAGTTACCGCTTGCATCCTAACTTGTTATGCCATTCAGCAGAGAAAGTGCAAAACCTGAATAGATGGCTCAATTAAAAAGTGTTTGGTTTGTTTTTAGTAATATATACAAATTATGATTTTTAATTATGGTGTTACGTTTACGAATAACCCTGATATTATCTCCGATAATCAACGATACAAGTTAAAGAGACCCTGAACTTTGAGGACACAACTTCTTCCAAGTGGCCATAAATAAATGCTCTTCACAATAACAACTGCCTTGCAGACACAATGCATAATGGTGGTGGTGGCAGGCCAGACAATTCCCCCTTCCCCTCCCCTCCTTTCTCCTTCCCCCTTTTCCCCTCCTCCTTCCCCTTCCCCTGCACACATTTGTGCAAATAGCATGCACTATGCACGTTTCCGTTTCCGCTCTTTCGGGCTTTACAGGCGTTGCAATTGTCGCTTGTTGCAACGACAGCCTCCGCCATTTTGTCTACTCGTCGGTGTGTCAGTTTGTGTGTGTGTGGGTGTGCCACAGTCTGGCGCACATGGCGCATACTTTATGCATAACAAATGGCTGCTTAGTATATTGTTTAATTTATCAAGCATGAATTATTTATGTCGATCTGCGTGTCCTCCAATGAAATAAAGTGCAATGCAAAACTTGAACTTTGCTCCGGACTTGGCCAACAATAACTGTTATCGTACACTTTAAAGATAAAGGTAAAGATAAATCTAAAGAGGTTGGTGAATAAATGTTTATATTATAATAGTTTATAGTTGAAACCAGCTTTCTCTTAAGAAACACAAATATCATCGCGAATATATATCTTATGCTTGATTTATACTATTTATTTTCTTTTAATAACGTTATTTTAGAACACATAAAATAATTTCCCACAGTGGACCCATTTACTACTCTCGTTGTAGGCTTGTCGAACAAATCAAATTTATGTGTTACGAAAGACAGAGGCATATATTCCCAATAGCACTTTCTGTTCAGGTAAACTGCACATGGACAATAAAATACTGCATTGTTTTGGCCGCCAGGACCAACTTATTTCAACTTGTTGAAATGAAAACTTCAATTGAATTCGGTGCGTTGTGCAGGTGTCAAGAGCTCTAATTTAGATTTAGTTCGGTTGATTAATTTGCCTTTGGGTATGCAGGAATGTGAGTGTGGTAGTTTGACAGTTGATAATTGCAGGCAGGGCTCGAGCGGCCAAAAGTTTAAGGCACTTCGGAGTAAATGGTAAATGGCCTTGCAGGATGTTGTGTGAACACAATGGCACGTCTTCGCCAGAGACGCAAAAATGGAGCTGGAAAACACAAAAGAAGTGCACGACATTGTGTTTAGTTTCGGTCCAGGAGGAGGAGGTCGAGGTTCAGCCGGGGAGTATCATTGGAACGTGCCTTCGCCTGGCTCACTTTAAGCCATATTGTGTATAGATAACGTGTCTATTCAGACGAAAACTGATACGGGGCCAAAACACTGAGTACGGCAGCCAGGAGCGGCAAACTTGACTTCCTTGTGGCCTGAGTAACAAGTCGGGCATAATGCGGAAGCTAAAAACTGTTGCATACTTTTATGCGCTGCCACAAGGCATCGGCATCAGCATCAGGACCTCAGCAATCCTTCCCCTTCGCTCCGAAAGGACGACGCTTATCACCGCAAAGTTTTTACCACTTTAGAGTCGGTGTCTGCAGCCGAGAGACATTTTGCCGTCGAGCTGTCAACGCTGCAACTTTGCAGCCGGAGCGGAAGTCGGGCTTTAAAAACCACCCATAAACTTATGTACACAGCAGACAGTCCAACATTGGCCGGACCAAACTTTTATCGGTCTTAATTGCCATTATCACTAATTACAGCAGCCACATGTCAAAGACAAAGAATAAATCATAGGAGTCACTTTTCATGTCCTAAATATGAATGAAAAAAAATGTACATTGCTTTCTGCAGTTAGTAAAATTAAATACAAGAAACGAAGCTAGCTTTGGAGAGCTGAAATTTATTATGATGCAGTTTGTTATAGAATTAAAAAAATTAAGAGGTTGAAATTAGAAAAGTTATGGACTTAGAATAAGTGAATTTGGTTTGCAGATAATTATATTTTATATGCAAAGGTTTCAAATTGAACTTGAATTATTCAACTAAAAAATTTTAGCTTAATTAATTTCTGCATCTGTTTTACAACACTTTTGTTTTTTGAAACTAAATTGAGACCAGATGCTCTACTTTATTGCAGAAATCAGTGAATCAAGAACCAGCCGATAGCCGCTAATTTTCAGCCAAACTTTTTCCGTTTTTTCTGGCCCTGCAATTGAACAGCCATTGACTGGAAAATTCAAAATCCTCCGCGGGGCATTCTGCGCGCACGTTTAACTTTTAATCCATCAAAATGCTTTTGACATCCCTGCAGCCCCTGTCGATTCCAATGAGAGAGGGAAAATTGTTTTAGCAAACTGAGAAAAAAAAAAAGAGAAAACAAAAAAGGAAAATCCAGACAGACTGTCTGCGGCATCCCATCGAATCCCAAACGCTTTTCATTATTCCTTACTCGTCTCACATTTTAAGCAAATGAATACTGGATCCCCGGAGACAAAGAACGTCGCGACTTTGCTGAAATATTATAAATCCGGGCGTAATTGTGTTGAGATCCCCACTCGTTGGCCCCTTTTTTGGGGATAAATTGGATTATAATTTATTTTAATTGGCAAAAGCCAAATGCAGGCAGAAAACAAACAAAGTGGGCAAGGGCTGCCCGAACGAAAATTAGCCACAAAATTACGCAGTCTGATGCCGCTTTCATTAGTCTAATTGTGACTCTTGGGCGGGCGTGCGTACATTTCGACCCATCTCGGTGATTAGGCCTGGCCTTTGCCTTTTGGCCACAAGTCGGCACGAAACCATGCGTGACAGTGTTAAACTGAGGGCCACAATCCCAAGCCCAA